GCGTAGGTAATAAGCATCTCGTCTGTACCACAGCGAGGAACTCAGTGTGAGGAACGGAGGAGGTACTAAAGGAAAGTTAGCCTGGGGATAGTCTGGAAAGAAATGAGCGTGGAATCTGCAAATAACTTATTCGTGGAACTCACATTCCCTCTTTCTCTGGCTGTTTATCGCTGATTACCCTCCTGGGGTTGAGGGAGGGTGGGGGACACTATCCATGCGGAACTCAGCTTGTTGGATTGACCCCAACCATAGCTGGGAAGCTCCACTTCTGTTTCACCACCCCTCCTGCCCCATCCCCAAACCATCTTCATGCCTCCTGGGACCTAATTAGGAACCTCTGGGTGAGGCACCTCCTCCATAATGGGATTAATGAGAGGTAACTCTAATGTGCTTTAACTGTGGAGTAATGGAGTAATCTATGACGTTCTCTTTCCACCACCAGTTGAGTGTACCTTATGGAATACCTGCCCTGTGAGAGGAGGTATGTTGGGTGCTAGGTTTGCAGAGATGAATTAGTCAGGGACTCGCAAGGAGAGTTATCCAAGAATGAGATGAGTTGGGCTTAGACTAGGGTGTTGATCCTGATCAGAGAGGAAGGAAAGGCTATTTGTGGAGGAAAAATTAACATGGGTTGGTGACTGGTTGGATAAAGGGGGATGAATGAGAGGGCCCACTAAAGGAGAATACTAAATTTTATAGCTTGATTGAAGAGATCTTGGGTGCCTAGGGTAGAGGAGCCATTTCAAGACAATTCATATTATGACATAGCTTTTGTCCTGTTGTTGTCTTCCTTACAGGTTTTCACCAGCTCCACAGAGACTTCAGGTTGATGTCCAGCCGTCTCTGCCTGGTTTTCAAGGTTCACTGTAATCTCCTCAGCGCAACAGATCCAGCCTCATCTCCCAATAATTTTCTGAGTGAAATAATCACTTCATATTTTTCAGCCATGACCCTGAACCCTTGGTTTTCCTGGGCTTCCTAAGCTTCTTTTGGCCAAGGACCCCTTTAAGAATCAGATGAAAGCCATGGACCCTTTCCCCAGGCCACGCTCTCAAAATTTTGCATACATTCTTAAGGGGTTTGTGAATCTCTTGAAGCTGTAGATTTCAGGAAATACCTTGTGTGCCAAATACAATCTTATGTGTCTAGCTTAGGATTTCTGATGAGCAATTTCTTTGCTACTATTTAATTCATACTCTATCTTTTTAAGTTTTACCTTTTTCTTGTAAATTTTATGAATTACTAGAGGCAACATGGCCTTCTCCTTTCTCCCTTTCATGATTTTGACACTTTTTCATATGCTTTTTCATTTGCTTCTCTTGCATCTCCAACTGGATTATATGGTTTTAAAGCAGGAACCCAGTATTATATATTTCTTATCTTTTAAACATGTAATTTTGGTAAGTTCTTTCTTTTAAATTTTATATTATTAAAAGTTTCAAACATATGCAAAAATAGAATAGTATAGTGAACCCTCCTGTACTCATCACCCAGCTTCAAATATCAACTCATATCCAATCTTGTAGTAAGTACCTTGATTAGATTTTAAACCTGCAGTGACTCCCTATTTTTTCAGAAAAAGTCTTTAACTTGACATCCTAGACCTAATACCTTTATTACCCACTCAGTCACAATTTATTAAACATTTAAAGTGTTCCAAGCACTGGACTGAAACACTATAAATAAGGATTTGCTGTTCTAGACTCCTTGCAGTTCTCTAAACACGCTCTGCTGTTTCACACTTCTACACACGCCATTAAGACACATAATTCCTCTTCCTTGCATGAATGCCCACATTTCCTTCCATACCTCCACTTTGTTTCCTTGTTGATCATCTACTCAGCCCTCAAACCTTATTTTAAACATTTCTTTCTTTATAAACCCTTCCCGAACCCTGAATGTAAATTAATTACTCCCAATCATTACCATAATTGTTTATTATACTTCTATTGCATTTAGCACACTGAGGTGTAATTACTCATACAGGACTCTAATTCACTCACCACCATGAGCTACTTGTGGGCAGAAAACATATTTTAATTGTTTCCATATCTCCAATACCTAGCACCATTTAGCCTGGCACATAGAAGCCACTGAATGCATATTTATGGATTGAATGAATGAATTTCCTAGCATAATGATTTCCATATAACAGTTACTAAGTAAACATTTATTGAATTTAATTTAATAAACACAGTCAAAATAATGTAAATTACTACCCACACGAAGAACATGAGAGTTAAAAAATACAGAGCGAAGGTGAGATTAGAGTGGGATAGGATAAACGGGCAAGTTTTTTTCTGCCTTTCCCCTGGATCCTTGCTCCCATCTCCATCCAAGGTGTCTTGGATTTTATCAAAAATCTAGGATAGGTTGCTTGCCTTTCTTCCTTTTCTAAACTTTAAGCAGACTTTAAGGCTCTAGTTATCTATATCTTGGATTGGGGAATATTTTCAGTTTTTGAGTTTCCTTTCAATTCATGGGAATAACAAACTCATCTGCAAAGCTGCTGAGCCCGTTTGCTTCTCAGGTCTCCACTGGAACTCTGACATGAGCAAGGAACCCCAGCCAGTCATCCTCCCAAGCTGTCACAGTATTTCACAGCAAAGGTAATGAGGCCCTCTTCTGATTGCTGACGCATTGGTCATCAGCTGTCCTCTGCAGGCAGAGGGAACTGCATTGCAAAGGTATTGGTGGGGAGAGAATAGGGTTAGTTTAGGGAACTGAAATTAATTCAGTGCAGCCAGCATAGAGGAATTTGAGTTTAGTTGCGGGAAGAACCTGGAGAGGTAGGCAGGAGCTACATCGTGAAAAGCATTATGTGTCATACATAGGAAGATGATTATCCTGAATGCTTTTATAAGAAAATCTTTAAAACTATATGTATCTTTTTAAAAATTATATTTTATTTAAAAACAATACACCTTCAATGTAGAATTTTTACAAAGTGCAGAAATGTGCAAAGAAAGTCATTCTTAATTCAATCACCTGGAGATAATTATTTTAAACATCTTGATATGTTTTTTCAACCTTTCTATGCATATTAACATGAATGCATATTAAAAAGAAAACAAAATAAGCCTAATACTATGTATATTTATTGCTTTGTAACTTGCCTTTTCATAAACACTTCATGATCAATCACTTGCCTTCTAAAATGTGATTTTCAAAGAGCTACACAGTATTCTATTATACGGATGTATTATAGGTTATTTAATTCTTTATCATTAGGCGTTTAGGTTATTTTAGGATTTTTGCTATTGTAAATAACACTTTGATGAACAGTTTTGTACACTAATTTTTATACGTATATCTAATTTTTATACATATATCTAATTTTTATACATATTGACATACTTAAATCTAAAAGTAGAATTATCATATCAAAGCTATGAATACTTTTAAGATTTTTGATACAGATTACTTTATAAAAAGTTATATGAAATTACACTCCCATTAGTCCTATCTTAGAATGTCTACTTCTCAGCTCTTTCATCCACACTGGATGTTCTTATTCTTTTAAAATATTTACATTTTAGTTTCTTAATTTGATTTTTTTGTTACTAGTGAGTTTGAACTTTTTTCATGTGTTTATTGGCCATTTGTATTTCCTTTTTTGTGTGTGTGAAATTCCTTATTCATGTCCTTTGCTAATTTTAATTTTTGGTCATCAACTTGACTTTTTGTATTGTTTATGGTGTTTTTTGACTTTCATAAAATTTAAATTTTTAAGTAGCCAAATCTACCAATCTTTTCCTTTAATCTGCCAATCTTTTCCTTTATGGTTTCATCCTTTGCTTTTTTCCTTAGCACGTCCCTCCTCTGAACGCTTCTAACCACTTCCGATTTGATGCTGCCAGATTCAAATCGATTTTTGCTCAAACTCTTAAAATTAAAAAAAAAAAGGAAGAAAGTTCCATTCTGAGACCAAGTTTTTTAAAAAACATATATTTCTTCTAAGTCTCTTATGGTCTTATTTATTACTTTGAATTTCATTTTGACGGTTCAAGATAGAGTTCTAATCCTCCCCCCCCATACAGTGCAGCTAATCAGTTATCAGAACACAATTTACTGAATAATCCATCCACTGATTCGAATGCTACCCTTGTCGTTATCGCTCCTATCCTGGTCCTGGGATTTCATCTACTGAGAGTTACAGGAATGGGGGCATGTGGGAGAGAGAATAAGCACCGAAGGAATGGACAGCGCTATCAAAGATGTGAAGATTTGCACCAGGCAGAGGGATAACACGAAAAGAGTTGTGCCTGATAACATTATAGTGATTGCTATAGATTTTTAGCTTGGTAGTGGATTAACCGAATATGTAATAGTCAAGATAGTTGCTCATTAAAATATCTAAATAAAAAATGTAAAGAGCAGGAAAAAGCAAGCAGGGCGATCTTCCCCGAATAACTTTGAGTCTGTAAATGTAATTCCACGATCATCTCACGAGCCATCGGTCACATGGACTACTGTCCCTTAAACAGCATCAGGTATGAGGTGTGAGAGAGGAAGTTCAGAGTAAGGTCTTGAGTCTTCGAGGATATTTCGCTGAGAAAAAACGAAACTTTATTTTTAAATGTGGTGCTCGTCACTAGCGCAGTAACCACTCAAGAAACAGCATTCCCCTCGCATTTTCATACGAACATCGGCCTTAGCAGCGAAGGCAGTTGCTATAGGGGGAAACAACCGATCGTTGTTGAGTTCTGAGCTACCGGATTCCTCTTTTTTTTCTTTTTGCAATGGACCGTTAAGCACGGGAACAGGAGCCTGGAGACGTTAGGCCGCAACAGAAAGAATTATTTTTTACCCTAACGGTGGTTTTCGTAAGCGGGCAAGATACAGAAGGGAGAAGTGCAGGTTACATCACAGAAAGGGCTGGCGTCTGCCCTGGGCCCGGCGCGGGGGTCCCGGGAGCGCCGCGAGCCAGCCACGCGCCCGGAGGCGGCGCGCGCCGCCTGGGAACGCCCCTCGGCCGCCCGGGCCCGGGCCCCGCCGCGGTGACGTAAAGGGGCGGGGCGGAGGCGCGGTCAAGGGCGGCGGGGGTTAATTGCCGGAAAAAGAACCCCTGGCTGGGGCGGTGGATCGCTCGCCGGCGCTGCGGGACTGGCGCGAGTGCAGCGGGTGCGCCTGGCGCGCGATGGCGCCGGGCACGAGCGCCCCGGGGTAGCGCGGGCGAGGCTGCACCGCTCCACGCGCGTCCCTCGCCGACTCTGGCGTTGGCCCGGCCCGGCCTGGGCGGCTATGGGGCTCCTTCGGCTGCTGGTCGTGGCTCTGCTGGCGTCGCAGCCGGAGGTCGTTGGGGGAGCTGAGACCGTCGGAAACTCCAGCGAGGGTAAGGTCGGGGGCGCCTCACTTCTGCAACCCAAAGTTGCTTTTGCATTTCTTGCAAGGTCAGAATCCACCCCGGGGTCTGTCCACCTAGCAGAGGAATGGAGCAGGGTCCTTTCCTGCAGAACGAAGCTCCCGTTGCTAAGGAGGCCTGACTGTCAACTCCTAATTCAGGCTGGGGAAATGGGAAGAGATAAGTAACTCTCTTCTTCAGACACATTATTATCTCCCTTAGGGAGCAGCCATGTTTGTAGGTTTAATTTAACACCCTAAAGCACACGTCTTTGCTCCCAAGTGGCATACCCGAGCTTCTGGACAGCGAGGCTTAGTACGGATTTAAGGCTTTATGATTGATGGCCCTCCAGGCTGCAGCGGGTTCTCACACTCCAAAATCTAGATGCTTTTCAAATTATTTATGCTCTGCAGAGTTTGAGAGGAAAAATGAACCCAGAATGGGACTTTAGATCGTAGATCATGTGCTTGGTGAATGGGTTTTAGCAGTAGTAGTTTGTGGTTTGTTAGTGTAAACTGTAAAAAGCACTAATTGTGCCAAGCTGGTAATCATGTGCTTTTCCGTGAGCACATTCTCAGTTTTGTTTTGAGCTTAACGGACTAGTTTCAGTTCTGAAACAATATTTTCTGAAAAATATGATTGTGTTCCTAAATGCGTATCTTTGAAAAGCTCTCTTGCAAACTGAATCTTAGAATCTTTGCACAGGACTTAAGGCCAAAGCTGAAAAGGGCAGTTATATTTTTTGCATAAAAAATAGCCTCATTTATCATAGGGCACTAACATTTACTGTGTGCAGTATGTGCCATATGCTTTTCATGGCAGTGTAATCTACTCCTCACAACCCTATGAGATAATTATTGTCTTCATTTGGCAGAGGATGAAGCTGAGGCCCAAGACAAAGCTCATTACACAAGTGAACAGCTAATAGGGGCACAGGCATCATTTGAACCCAAGTGTGTCTCGCTGCAAATTTCATGGTCCTTCTACTCCAACCAAGCTACCCTCCAATAAGAATATTTTACTTAGTATAGTGCTTACTCTTCATTCTTCTGTGAATTTTCATTCCTCAAAATAGCTTGATGAGAGAGGTAGAAGAGATGGCTATCTCCATTTTAACAGGTGAAGTATTTTTTTAAATTGAGGTCATATTGGCTTATAACATTGTGTAAATTTCAGGTGTACATTATCAAATTTCAGTTTCTGTATAGACTGCATTGTATTCACCACCAATAGTCTGTTTTTTTATCCGTTACCATACACATGTGTCCCTTTACCCCTTTCGGCCTCCCTCTACCCTCTTCCCCTCTGGTAACAGCTAATCTGTTCTCCTTATCCATGTATTTATCTTCCACATATGAGTGAAATCATATGGTGTTTGTCTTTCTCTGTCTGGCTTATTTTGCTTAGCATCATACCCTCAAGGTCCATCCATGTTGTCGAAAATGGCACAATTTTATCTTTTTTTATGGCTGAGTAGTATTCCATTGTATATATGTCCCACATCTTCTTTATCCTTTCATCCACTCATGGCCACTTGGGTTGCTTCCACATCTTGGCTATTGTGAATAATGCTGTGATGAACATAGGGATGCGTAAATCTCTTTGAATTGTTGATTTCATGTTCTTTGGATAAATACCCCATAGTAGGATAGCTGGATCATATGGTATTTCTATTTTTAGTTTTTTGAGAAATCTCCATACTGTTTTCCCTAGTGGCTGTGGTATTGGAGAGATTGAATTTGCCAATCCAGACTAGCCCCTGAGTCAGGAAGGTTTTGATCCAGATGTTTTCATTTCTAGTTCTGTGCTTTAGTATTTAATAATATCTAGAAAGTTTTATGCAAAGATTGAGAAATCTGAGTGATAATTTGAGAAATTAATATTTTTCAGATACTATTTCTTGCCTGTTTTCTGTGGTGACAGCACTGATGTTTCCTCAACCATGTTATTCTTTTTGCCTTGCATTAGTGTTGTTGTTCTGTGCAGGAGAGGGACAATATGTGGGAACTTAACTGCTGAGTGGTAATAAAACCTGATTTTCTCCACATCTATCAGATAAAAATCAGTATGGAAATTAAGAAAGACTTAGTTCAAGATTTGCATGATCCTTGTGGAAAATGGCTGGATTTCTGTTTGAGGATTCTGATAATTATACGAACTGAAAAAATTGAGCAACCGCTGTAATTTAGGAGGATTTACCCATCTTTAGCAGAACGTGCTAACTTGCACAACTTGAATAGTGGCTTGAAAGCTAAATGAATCTTTGAAGGTGGCAGAAGTTCCTAGAAAGTCCGAGGACGGTGCTTTCTGTAACCAGCAGGGACAGGAGATGAATCCTACATTAAAACAGTTTTCCCTTCTCTTGGAGTGCCAGTTCTCTGCTACCCTAACATCTTTCATTATTGTTTCAGATCCATATCTAGTAACTCACATGGCGTTACACGGTAATTGGAGTTGAGAAGAATGTCATTTGAGCCTCCTAGTGTCTGTGCTATGCTTTGAGTAAGGTAGCAGGCCACTTGTGTAGTTAGTCGCAAGTGATCTCTTTCAAAAGTATGTGAAGGGTAGTATGTACATTTTTGTGTTTCCTTTCAGCTTTTAGGGCTAAGGAAAATTCATAAGAAGATGTAAATGAGAAATTGGGAGGGGCAGTTGAATGCCGACCAGCTCAAGTAGCTGAACCATTTTTGTTTTTAATATTCCATCTAAAGAAAGTTATTATGAAGACACTAAGCTTTCACAGATCTCTCCTAGAATTTGGTTATTGCATCAGAGCACAAACAATGGAGGTACATTTAGTAAAATAGTAAAAAGGAAGAGTTGGAAAATTTTAGAATTGCAAGTTTAGGATCTGATTGGGAAAGAAGAGGAAAATATTAGGATTGAGCAGTTCTTTTTAGAATGGAATTATTGGAAATAAAAAGTGACTCTGGATAGGAATGGAGGAAGGGTATGAAAAATAGAAAAGAATCCCCTGCTATGGGTCAGATGGCAAAAAATATTTTTGGCTGAAGAAACAGAGCCCTTGCTTTTTAGAGGAGAGCTCTGGTGTTAAGTGGGTGTCTCCATGTTAGTTGTTTGATCTGTAATATCATTTGATGTGCTGTTTCCCTCCCACTCCCAAAGTCATAAGATCTAATTATGCCTCATAAAATGTCTCTAATGAATCCTTTCCATATGGCTCAGAGGTGAAGTTAAGTTTCTGTTCTTCAGGATATATTTTGGATACATGTCTTCCTTTGCCATGTCTGTTTTTACAAGTAGAAGTTAAGTGCAGTTTCTGCTAGCCTGTACTGTTAAAAATACTTTCAGTATTTTTCCTTGTCATTCTATGCAAGTCTCTTTCTCAACTTGATGCTTATGATGGATGTGCTAGGCATTTAATACCTGTTAGTCCTCTTCTTCCCACTAGCTTATCTGTAGAACCCTATGAATGCCTGACTTGTTTCTTTTTTTCTTTTTGAATAAAGCGATGAGCCTCTAAAACACTGGAAAGCTAATGGAAGTTAATAATGATACTTTATTGTGTGGCATTGGACAGGTTAAAATCTTTTTTCCTACTTTTTGATACTTTTAGCAAGTGATGTTTGCAGCACAGTTATCTGCATTTCTGCATGAGGAAACTAAGGCCCAAAGGAAATAAAATACTTTCGTGAGGTCATAGAAGTTCAACCATTGTTCACCAAACATTTATGGTGTGCTAACTAGGTGACTTGTGCTGTACTCGGCACTGGAACGTCAAATATGACAAAGCCCTGCACAGCCAGGAGTCAGACCACAACTGGTTTGGTTAATATGCAACCTTCTATAAAAATTGTGAAATGGCTCTTGGACTGCCAAGGTAACATTGCTAAAGGATTTTCACACAGATGTCAGGTTAAAGATAACTGAAAATAGGAAGAAATATATTTATCCTTTCCTAATTCATCAAACATTGTGTTAGGAGTTCTCAAACCTGGCTGAACATTAGAATCACCTGGAGAAGTTGAAAAAAGGCATATTGGTGACAATTAGAAATTGAAATTTAAAAGAAAAAATAAATTTACAGTAGCAGCAAGAAACAAAATGTTTAGGGGTAATTATAATGGGATATGTAAAGACCTCTACAGAGAAAGCTGTACAGCGTTCTTGAGGTAAATTGAGAAATTAAACAGAGGGATATCTCAGATTCATAAATTAGAAAATTTTATGTTATAAAGATATCATTTCTCCCTAAATTAATGTATTCATTGCCATCCCAATCAAAATCCTAGCAGGCTTTTTTTGGTGGAAATTGACAAGCTGCGTTCTAAAATTTGTATGGAAATGTAAAAGGGCCAAAAATAGACAAGACAGTCTTGAAGAGGAAGAACAAATTTGGGGCAGAAATTAAGACAGTGTAATATTGGTGTTTGGATAGACAAATAGACCAGTGGAACACAATTGAGAGTCCAGAAACAAACCCACACATGTGGTCACCTGACTTATGTGAAAGATGATATTGCAGAATAGGAGGGAAATGGTGGTAATTTCAATAAAGTTTGCTATGTCAATTGGATATACATATGGAAAAATGAACCTTGACCCCCTGCCTCACGCCATACATAAAAATCAATTTCAGATTGATTTTAGAATAAATGTGAAAATTAAAACATAGTTCTAGAAGTTAGTGTGGGGAATGTATCTTCATGATCTTAGAATATGTTGGCAAAGATTTCTTTAAAATGACACAAAGAGCTAATTATGAAGGAAAACCTTGAGAAAATGGACAACATTGAAATTAAAACTTAAGTTAATCTAAAGGTAACGAGAGTGAAAAGACAAGCTACAAGAATGGGAGAGGATCTTTGCAACACATATCTGACAAAACGCTCATGTCAATGATGTGTAAAGAACTTCTAAAATTCAATAAGGACAGACAATCCCATTTTAAAAATGGGCAAAGGACTTGAACAGACCCTTTCACAAAGAGGATATCCAAATGGGCAATAAGGAAAACAAAATGTTCTTAACATCATTAATCATTAGGGAAATGCAAATTAAAATCACGGTGAACTCCCACTGTGTACGCAGCAGAGAAACTCATGATACTAGGTGTTGGTGAGACTGTCGAGCAACTGGAATACTTTCAAACAAGTTGATGGGGTAAATTGGCAAAACCATGTGAGATAACTGGCATGTGAGATAGCTAAAGCTGAATATAAGTATACCTAATTCTATTCTACTCAATAGAAATGTGTACATGTGGGCACCAAAAGCCATGTACAAAAAGTGTTTGGAGTTATTCATAATAACTCCAAACTAGAAATAATCCAAATATTCATTAGCAGAAGAAAGATAAATTGTGGTATATTCCTTTCATGAAGTGTATAACAATGAAAATGAATGAATTATGGTTACTATGGCAGCTGGAATGAATGTCACAAATAGAGTGTTGATTTTTAAAAAGCTAGACACAAAATAATTCATGCTATGTGATTCCATTTAATAGAATTTCAAAAACAGGCAAAGCCCATCTATGGTGTTATAAGTTAGGATCGTAGTTACCTCTGGGGAGGAGAAAAGAGGTAGTGATTAGAAGGGGCCACAAGAAGACCTCTACGATGCTAGAATGCTGTTTCTTGACCTGGCAGTGTAAACTTTGTGCCCTTCCCTGTATGTATGTTATTTTAGTAAATATTTGTTTTTTAACTGATACTTGGACCCTAACCCCAGGGATTTTGATTTAACTGGTGTGGAGAGGGGCCAGGACAGCAATATTTTTTAAAAAGCACCTCCAGATGACTGTTATGCATAGCCAGGTAGATAATCATTGTATTAGAATTTCTTTCTAATAAGGACACCTCATTAGCACTATAGAAAATTTGAAAAATAAGGAAATGTATGAAGAAAAGAAAAAATCATTTGAAATGTAACCTCAGAGGTACCTGCTTTTAATACCCCTACTTATTTTGTCAAGTGACCAGTTTTTAAAATAATGTATACAGTGTCTCTCTCTTTTATTATCTGGCTTCTGCCTGGTTCTTGCTATAGACATTTAATTGGGGAAAGACGGTGAGTGAGGCATCATCTTCCTGTAGCATTTGGGAAATCCAGGAGGTAATAGCTGAAAGTTGTAACTGTTTTCTGGAACTCCAGGTGTTGTTGAAGAAGAAGTCAGAAGCAGAGACTGTAGCTTAATGTTTTGGTCTTGATCATTATATACTCTCACATGGGCTGTTTGTTCCCGTTTCTGATTTGCTTAATGAGAATAAGACTTCTTAGGTAGTTTAACCATTTAAGATCAAAGGTGGTGTTACACTGTTACAGCAAAAACCTGCTCAAATAGGTTTATTGCCTGATATATATGCTTTCTAGAATACTCTTTCACAAAAATAGACCTATTTTATTTCCTATTTCTTATTCATGCTGGAATGATAACAGCCTGTGTGTTCATCAATAGGGGATTGGTTGAATAATTATCGTTATGTACACAGAATGGAATATTATATAGCTTTTAAAATGGTAAAGCTAGAATTGTCTGTGTTGATGTGGAAAGATATCCTAGATCTATTAAATGGTCCATACCAAACATACTTGTATCTTTCTTTTTCCATCTACATAGAAATACTCATGCTGATATCTGCCTAAATCCTGAAAGATATATACCAAACTCTTAATAGTGATTATTTCTGCGCAGTATACTTGCTGGAGGAATTAACTTTCTCTATGTTTCTATCCTTTCTTTAATAAGGAATATATATTATATGAAAAAATATTACCATTTTAAGGGAAAAACAAAACAAGTGACAAAAGGGTTGCGAGAGTGTTGTCATTTTGTCTGGGAGGGGTGTATCCCTATTTTATGAATTTCACATGAAGGGTTGAGATAGAGCCTGTGTTTTGAGTTCCATCAAGGATGGAGGTTTTTTCAAATTGTGCAATTTCTTCCTGATAAGAACACTTCACTATCACTAACGAAATTTGATAGATAGTGAAATATATAAAGAAGAAAAATCACTTAAAATATTTTCCCAGGGATACCTACTTTTAATACTCCTACTTATTTTAAGTTATCAGTTGTTCAATAATGTATTTTAATTTCTGTGGTCCCATCTTTCTTTACTGTCTTTTAAAGCCCTGAAAGTTTTGGTTCTCCAAGTATTTCTGAGTTGTAATTTATCTTTACCTCTATGTGATAGGTTAAGGGAAGGTTAAGAAAAGTTTACCACCAAGTCTTCACTAGTTGATAGCTTGCTTCAATCTCTTCCAGGGCTTTTAAAGTTTCTGGATAGTGTTTTGATTCAAGGCTCATGTCATGGGAAATAGACATAAGGATTATCAAAACAGTTTCTAAGATATATTTAGGGACAAATTTAAGTGATAATTACAGAGTCTTGGATAAGCTTTATGAATTTGCTTGAACCAGTGTTGGTCACAGTACCAACAGGCAGAGCAACTAGTCCATAAGTACTTAATAAATATTTGTCAAATAGAGAAAATGAGTGAGAGGGCTGAAGAAAACAGAAAAATTGAAAATGTAGCTAGAAAAGGTAGGATGGTAAATAAGCTGAGTGCTTTGGACAATTAAGGGATGGAAATCCAATTAATTCCTAGGAAAACTAACTGATACCGCTTTTAGTTTGACAGACTAGAATTTGTGGATATTTTTAAGACTTGGAAGATAAAGGAGAGATGGGACCAAAATTAAAGTGCAATAGACAAAATATTTTTATGTCATTTACTGAGATTCACTTAATTTTACGTATAATTTGGTTTTCTAATAAAATAATCATGATGATGGGAAGGTCTGGGAAATATAAAAATGTTTTTCTTGTTTCCCTTTAAAAACAGAAACAAAAAACTCCACACATTTTCTGACTTCCCTACCCAGATCCTATTAGCCACTCCCTAGGATTTTAGCTCTCTTCTGACTGGAGTTTTGTTTCACATAAAAGGTAAAATGTTTTTCCGGTTATATAAATAGGAAGAAACATACCATCTTCATTTGTCATTGTTACAACTATTAAAATGTTCTCTGAATTTTTAGAAATTAAATCATAACCACAAATAACCTTTTTTTCTATCAATTAAAAAACATTAAGTTATGAAGGTAAAATAATAGCATAACAGCGTTCGGAGAAAATTTATAGAGAGTAACCCTTATTCTAGTCCTAATGCTATTTGTATGTTCTGTTTGGCTTTCTTGGTTAGCCATTCTTGATAGTTTTTTTGTAATCGTCCAGATGGAGTACTTGTGTTAGAAAAAAAAAAGTCTTGAAAATTAGCCTTCTTGGGAAAATTAGCCTTATGTAACCTACATAAGAATGAGTTATGAAGTTATTTAGTGTCTCGAGTGTTTTCTTTTACCACCCACTGACTCTAATTTCCTTCTAAAATAAAACATGATAGTTCTACTAAGGTTCTCTGGTGAATTATAATCTTTACTTCGTCAGCTCCTTTTCATCTATATTACATTTCAATCTTTTTTTTTTTTCTGTTTTAAGGTTTGAACCCCCAAGACTACTTCTGTAATGCCTGGGAGCTCTTAGGCTATTTATGCAGAGATATACTGACTATAGTGTAGGGGGTGAGATGGGAATCCAGGACCACACAGAGCTAAAAGCAGCCTTTTTAGTGGATTATTGGAGAATTAGGTTGGAATAAGAAAGAACGGGTGTGCAGCTGGGAGAAGGACACACAGAGAACCATGGACAGAGTGAGTGAGCTAAACACAGCCAAACAATGGAGGCAAGTAGACAGATGGGAAAGGCCTAGATGAAGTGTTGGAAAACTCTTGTTATAATCTTTTATTTATTTATTTTTTATATTTTGGGAGGGGAAGATTCACCCTAAGCTAACATCTGTTGCCAGTCTTCCTCTTCTTTTCTTCCTTTTTCTCCCATAAAGCCCCAGTACCTAGTTGTGTATGGTTGTGAGTTCTGGTTCTTCTATGTGAGCTGCCGCCACAGCATGGCTACTGACAGACAAGTGGTGTGGTTTGGCACCTGGGATCTGAACCAGGGCCGCCAAAACAGAGCACGCCGAACTTTAAGCTCTAGGCCATCAGGGCTGGCTCTATAACCTATCTTTTATGTGGACTCTGAACTTGATCCTTAAACAGCTCTTTTTTCCAAAATGCCTGTGGTTCACGACTGTATGTGAAGTACCTGTTATGGGCACTCAACAGACGTTTTTACCAATGTTGATGGCTTCTTCCTTTGCAAGCTGGCTAATACAGGCCCATTTGACAGATGAAGAAATGGAGGTTTAAGAGAATTAAGTAACTTGCTTAAGATCACACAGCTAGTAAATGGCGGGGTAAAATTGAAGCCACCTGTGTCTCTCCAGGCTGAGCTGACTTCAGAATTCACTAGATCATACTGGTCTTTAATACCAGTGCATTCATGATTGCTAGTAGCTCCCCAGGGTTCTTCATCCTTAAATTCAGGGACTCTGTTCCTTTTGGAATTGTTATTGCTGCTCCCAGTTGGGGAATTTTTCTGGGTTCTGAGAGCCAGGCACCTTGAGAGTCCTTAGCACGTTAAGCATTGTTCGCATCTTTTGAAATACTTTTCTTCCATTTTGGTTCTCAGTTCCACCACTTACTAGCTGAGGCACCCTGAGTGGGCTGTTTCACCTCTTTAAGCTTAATTGTCCTCATCAGTGAAACGGGGGCAGTAATAATAATATTTATCTCAACGAGTTTTTCTGAGGATTAAATTAGAGGTGTGTGTATGTTTATGTATGTGATTTGTACAAATTGCTCTTAGAGGTACAAATGTTACAATGAAATGTGTCTCTCATTGTAGGTCTTATTGAATTTTCTATGGGGACATTTAGATACTTCGAGCTCAACAGGTCCTTTCCAAAGGAAGCTATTTTGCGTCATATTTCCAGCAATGTGACTTTTCTTATTTTCCAAACACACTCACAGTATCAGAATACAACAGTTTCTTTTTCTAAGGTAAGTACAAAGAATTATATCCGTAAAAACTGTTTTCATATTTGGGGGTCTTGTATTTAGTACAAGTATTAGAATTTGATGTCTCTTGATGTTTGACTTCATGTCTTAAAGAAAAATCAAGATTGGGTCCTGTCAAGTTAGTGATGGAGAGTGGCTAAGTGGTGATTATCTCAGGCCTTTCTTGAGTGTGGTGACCTCTGACTGAAAGAGGGGGTGACAGAGGGCTGAGTTTTTGGGGAGGGTGACCTGTGCTAAATGTCTCCTCTCTGTGGTCAAGTTTTCCTCAAGATTTTCCACCTTTTCTTTTTCTTACTCTATTGGGTCCTTAATGGTTTTTACCTGAGAATCCATTTTAATAGGTTTCCATTGTTGATCAGCCATTTACTGTTGAAGTTTACTAAGATCGCTATGGAATCAACTTTATTCTTTGGAGTCTCATGGAAACAGAATCCTAACACTCCATTCATCCAGCCCAGTGCTATGCTTCCAGCAGCCGTTAGGACTCTACTACAGAGATCTTCACTAAAACCCTTAACCTTAGCCTCAGCTTTGGGAAGTTTTTCAAATGCCCTGGATTAGCTTAAGTTATTAAGGACCTGCCGTTTATGTTAACCTTTTACAAATCTATTTATATTTAGCCAATATGACCCCTTAGACTAATAAATGAATTTCACTCTGTATGAAGTTGTACTTTTTATTTGTCCTAATCCTATCTTATAATATTCTGGAATTTGCTAAACAAAGCTGTCTTAGTCCAATTCTTATATATTTTATAGGCATTGGTCATATTATCTTTCAAACTAAGTATTTTGTATTTTTTTATTCCCACCTTCCTGCCCCTAGCATGAAGTTTTTTTTTTTTTTTTTTTGATGAGGAAGATTGGCCCTGAGCTACCATCTGTGCCAGTCTTCCTCCATTTTGTGTATGGGATGCTGCCACAGCATGGCTCAAGGAGCGGTGTGTAAGTCTGGGCCCAGGATCTGAACCCGTGAACCCAGAGCACACAAACTTAACCACTATGCCACGAGGCCGGCCCCAAGCATGAAGATTTTGATATTGTGTGTGGGTATGAGTGTGGATGTGTGGTAGTTTAGTAGACTAGAAATGGAAGAGTTCAACCAAAGAAAAGAGAAAGGAATAAGTTACGTTAGTTGAAGAGATAACAGTGTCTGTGATCCATACATTGATTTTTGCCTGAGTTCTTTGCAGCCAGAGCAGAAATCAAAGCATGTTAAATTTTATAACTTTGTTAGAGGGAAGAAACCTGCCAATTCCTCAGGCGAAGCCAAGTTTTTTCTGGCACTAAATGCAAAAGGACACTTCGTATTCAGGCCCTTACGTAGGAAACATAGGAAAATGACACATAGATGATTTCCTTCTTAATAACATCACAGCAAAGACAAGATTTGAAGGAAGAGAGAGGATGGAAAAAAAAGGCATTTGTATTAATTGCATGCCTACAATGTGGTAGACCAGTTGTTCTAAGGTCCTGGGGACATAGACTTTGAATCTGCTGCAATCTCTGGACTCTCCAACGGGCAAAATGTATGGATATATTCTCATAATTTCATAGGGACCTCTCGGGCCTCTGTTTGGTTTTCCATGTGGTTAATTTCTTACGACAGCTCAACATAGTAGTTAATGTCTGTTTTTACATCTGAGCAAGCAGAGCTGGGATAAAGGGATGTCCACATAATTACTGTGACAAAAGTGGCCTGGATGAACAGCATCTTGGGCCTCAGTTTTCATGTGGAAAGGATCTTAGTTATCTTTAATTATAACAATGTTTCTTTCTCGGGCTACCTTTGTTCCTCACTGTATTTATACCACTGAGAAGATGGTAACAGGAAGCTCACACGGCTCTAGAAGTGAGCGGTCTGTGTGAAGAGCACTGTTGCTGGCTCCTGTGCCCATCCTCAGCAAGTGTGGCACTTGGGATTTTTTGGGTCATCGTGGCAGTTGATTCTTTGAAGCTGTCGACTCTGTATTTGTTAATTAGTATTTGGGTCATTCTCCCTTATGCTTGTCAAAGTGAAACCCACTGGCACTTTTTCCTTCCCATTTCTGTAGTTCTAAGAAAACGCTCTGAATCTATTGCTTCTTCACTTAGTATTTTATTATTCAAAAAGCTAAGGGATGGGCGCTGGCCAGGTGGCGCAAGCAGTTAAGTGCGCACGCTCTGTTGTGGCGGCCCGGGGTTCGCCGGTTCGGATCCTGGGTGCGCAACGACACACTGCTTGTCAGGCCATGCTGTGGCGGAGTCCCATATAAAGTGGAGGAAAATGGGCACAGATGTTAGCCCAGGGCCAGTCTTCCTCAGCAAAAAGAGGAGGATTGGCTGATGTTAGCTCAGGGCCGATCTTCCTCACAAAAAGAAAAAAAGCTAAGGGATGTCAGGAAAGATCAGAAGGGGGCACAAAGTGGGTGATATGTATGTTCACTAACTGATTGTGGCGATGGTTTCACAGGCGTCTACATATGTCAAAGCTTATCAAATAGTACACTTTATGTATAATTTATAATGTGTCAACTATAACTCAAAAAAAAAAAACTTTCCAAAAACTGAACTCCTTGGGGGCAGGGCTCATTTTTTTCTCTTGGTAGTCTTAGTATTTGACATAGTAAATCTTAATTTGGGGAGAATTGAAAGCTTAGGAATTTCGCTGTGCCTCTGCTATTTCTGATCAAAGATCGCATATTTTATTTTATTTATGTATTTATTTTTTTCTTGTGTGGAAGATTGGCCCTAAGCTACCATCTGCTGCCAATCTTCCTCTACTTTGTATATGGGATGCCCCCACAGTATGGCTTGATGAGCGGTGTGTAGGTCCACACCCGGGATCTGAACCTGCCAACTCTGGGCCGCTGAAGCAGAGTGTGTGAACTTAACCACTATGCCACCTGGCTGGCCCCAAAGATCATATATTTTAAATAGTTCTTCCATGTGTGTGTGTGGGCACGTGCACATAGAGGTGAAAAGAATTCTTTAATTATCTAAGGAAGGTCTGTTTTTTTCTTTTTGTTTTGAGAAAATTTGGAATAGAATGTGCATACTAGATCAATTCTGGAATTTAAACATTTTGCTCAACTTCATATTCATGATGACTGTTCTCTTACTGCAGACTCTCTTGCCCAATACCTCAGGAACAGGCACTGACAAAGGACTGGTTTTCACTCTTAGACCAGAGCACAGTGTGTGCACGTGGTACTTGGAGACCTTAGATGCTGAGCCTGTGCAAAACGTGGCCATCCCACTCTCCTACTCAGAAAGAGGTAACCTTTCTGTCTTTGGCTCCCTATTACCCTCCAGCATGTGGGACTTGTTCATGAAAATTTAGGGAAAACTATAATCCTATTGAAAGTCTTTATTACAAGTACAATTTATTGCATCGGAAAGGTTTTAATGGCACGGGAGCCAGAGAATTAGCATGATGATTGAAAGCCCAGGTAGGGACTAGGAGAATACGTTTATTCATTCAAAAAACATTTAAGAAGTTCTTGGAGAAGCATAACAGAAAGGCAAGACACGGTTGTTAACATTTTAGATGGTTATTCTAGGCAGAGGAAGCAATAAGCTTCACGTCATGAAGGGATGGAACAAGAATGGAGTATTTGGAGAATGGCAGTAGTGGGTGGCTGGAGCCAGAGTATGAAGTGCCTTGTATACACTTTGAGGTTTGCACTCTATTCTGAGGCTGGATCTGAGGAAGCATAGGGAGTTTTTAAGCAGAGGAATAATGTGAAGCATTTCATCTCTTAGAAAGTTAACTCTAGAAGCAGTGTGGGCAGTGGATTGGAGAGGGTATAGCAGACTCAGGACTCAGTGCACAATTGAGGGCTCCAAGTGAGAAATGACGATCTGAACAGAGGCCACAGGAGGGGGCATGGAGAAGAGGGGCTGGATTTGAGATGTTTGTAAGGTAGAATTGATAAGACACTATGACCAGTGGCACTGGATTATAATGGGGGAGAATAGGCTGCCCATTTGGGTAGCTGGAAGACAGTGATGCAAAATAGGCATAGAGAGGGGCCGGCCTGGTGGCGTAGTGATTAAGTTTGTGCGCTCCACTTCGGCGGCCCAGGGTTCACAGGTTCAGATCCCAGGTGTGGACCTACGCACCACTTATCAACCATGCCATGGCAGGCGTCCCACATATAAAGTAGAGGAAGATGGGCACAGGTGTTAGCCCAGGGCCAATCATCCTCAGTAAAAAGAAGAGGATTGCCAACAGATGTTAGCTCAGGGCTAATCTTCCTCACCAAAAAAAAAAAAAAATAGACGTAGAGATAGGGTTGTTGTGGTGCTGGATGGTTTGGGGGTTTGGGATGGGCTAGATGGTGACTTCAGTTTGGGACACAGTGAATCTGAGATGCTTGTAGGACATCTGGATGGAAATGCATAGTAGGCAGTTTAAAATCAGGGCCTGGAGTGGAGAGGTAAGATTAGATAGCCGACTAAATAGCTGTTAGTAAAAGCCCCGAAGTGAGTGAGATTCTTCAGACGTGCTTAGAGATCAGTCGTGCTTAGAAATAACAGCGGATACTTTCCTAGTACCTCCCACAGTCCAGCCACTCTTTTTGGGGAATGCCAACTGCTGAGGAACAAGCACAAGAGTAAGGGGTAGTTGGGGAGGTCACAGAAGAGCCTGGAGGTTCTGCCTAAGTGAGGGGTGGTAAACTGCATTGCAGAGAGGTCAACAGAAGGGACTGAAAGTGTCCATGTGATAGCACAATTAAGAGTCAGTGGTGAGGGCCGGCCCCGTGGCTTGGCGGTTAAGTGCGCGTGCTCTGCTACTGGCGGCCCGGGTTCGGATCCCGGGCACGCACCGACGCACTGCTTCTCTGGCCATGCTGAGGCCGAGTCCCACATACAGCAACTAGAAGGATGTGCAACTATGACATACAACTATCTACTGGGGCTTTGGGGAGAAAAAGGGGAAAAAAAAAAAAAGGAGGAGGATTGGCAATAGATGTTAGCTCAGAGCTGGTCTTCCTCAGCAAAAAGAGGAGGATTAGCATGGATGTTAGCTCAGGGCTGATCTTCCAGACAAAAAAAAAAAAAAAAAAGAAAGAGTTAGTGGTGGCCTTTAATGAGAGTCATTTAAGGGACACAATGGGAATGAAAACTAGATTACGGTGATTGAGGCATGAAAGTGAAGTGAGAACGTTTAGACTGCTCACAGTTTGGTGGTAAGGGGAAGGAGAGGGAGCGATAGCTAGGAAAGGAAACAGAATCCAAAAAGTGACTGGAGTTGAGGAAAGAACACAGAATCTGTAGCAAAAGGGTAATTACCTGATTAAAAAACCCGTAGGCTTCAAGCTTCCATCAAGGACAGCATAGAAAGAAAAATTATGAACATTGGAGCTTCAGTTACAATATGTATCATTTTCTCAGGTGTGGTAAATATTTGTAAATGCAGGAAAAGAGCATGAAAGAAGAGCACAGACTTTTGAGGAAGATTCCACACAATTTTGAAACATATATGCACAGTGGGTATCTCCATTCCAAATCTGGCCAGGGGAGGCCAACCACCACTAGAATTCCAACAATTTATGGAAACCAAGACCCAGCTATGGGAATGATTGGATGAGTGTATGAAGTTGAGATCTTTTACATCTTTAAATTGGTTTACCTTGTTCTGTCTTATCTCACCCTCTTTACTTGAGTCTGCCATATATAGTTCTTCATATGGAGTTGAACTTGTGTTGAGTGACTTGAAGTTTTGTCATGCTTAAAAGTCACCAATAAGATTCCTAAGAAAAGAAGAGCTGTTTTAGCCACATTATTAATATAAATTAAATACCCAAAATTTATTTTGTGCTTAATTAAATATCCAAATGCTATTCCCGTACTTGGTCTTGGGGTTCTAGAGGTATTTTATTTTTACTCTTTTCTATAGACACAAAGACTTGTCCAGCAGTGAGGATCACACCATCTTTCTCCCTCTTGAAAGAAGCATGTGAAAAGTGGACACTCCTTTCTCTGTTACCCACAGAGTTCCTTTTTTCTTTGGCAGTGTTTTTTCTCTCTGTCCTTTGGTTCTTAAGCTCTTTTGTGGGGTCATGGACTCCAAAAATCTAATAAAAACTTCTCTCCCTAGGACATGCACCAATTCAACATTTTGGCATACAATTTTAGAGTGTTCATGAAGCCCCTGAAATCCATTCTTGGACCCCAGCTTAAGAATCTCTGTCTCTTCTGATCTTGTCACTCTAGATCAGAGGTTGGCAAACCACAGACCATGAACCAAATCCAGCCTGCTGCCTGTTTTGTACATCAAGTCTTGTTAGAACACAGCTATGCCCATTTGCTTATGTACTGTCTATAGTCGCTTTCCTGCCATGAGGACAGGGTTGAAGAGTGGCTACAGAGACCATCAGTCCTGCAAGGCCTAAAGTATTCACTGTCTGGCCCTTTACAGAAAAGGTTTGCTGACCCCTGTTCTAGAGCCCTTACCCTCAGTGAACATTACCCTCTTTAACCTCTGTTCATGAGGTTGAATAGTAAACTAGAAGCTCTGTATTTCTTTAACTTCTATATGGGAAGTTCTTGTAAGAGCAGAGTTCTGTTTTTCTGAGTATGATTTAAATATATAAGAATTCTCTGTTGAGTAACTTCCTTATTTTTCACTCAGATCCTATCCCTGGAGGCTGTAATTTGGAGTTTGATTTAGATATCGATCCCAATATCTACTTGGAGTATAATTTCTTTGAAACAACTGTCAAATTTGCCCCAGCAAACCTAGGCTATGCGAGGTATGTCTGTCTCCCGTCTCCTAAAACAACCTTTAGGACGTGCATGATTGCTGTTGTGTAGATTCAGGGAACTCTCTCAAAATCCATAGTTCTCTTTAGTAAAATTGAATGGTTTAATTTTTTTTTTGGAGTGGAAGTAACTTAAACATTGTTACTAATACTTTTTTTTTTTGGTGAGGAAGATCAGCCCTGAGCTAACATCCATGCCAATCCTCCTCTTTTTGCTGAGGAAGACTGGCCCTGGGTTAACATCCGTGCCCATCTTCCTCCACTTTATGTGGGACGCCGCCACAGCATGGCCTGACAAGCGGTGCGTCGGTGCATGCGCGCGGGATCCAAACCCTGGGCCGCCAGCAGTGCAGCGCGCACACTTAACCGCTACCCCATGGGGCCGGCCCCTGTTACTAATACTTGAGCTGTCATTTACAGTTAATATCGTCCCCGTCCATTCTTTTAAAGAGCCAGATGTTGAGTCTTTATTATGAGCTTAGAAGTACTTCTTGATTTCTGTAAGGAGTTTTAAATATAGAAAGCATTCTGGACCCATGAAACACCCTAATATTTTTGTAAAGATTTTATTATTTTAATTAAAACTCTACCTTAGTTTCTACTTTAATAGTAATGATAGCTAACATTTGAGTAACATTTGAATGCTCCTTATGCATTATCTACCATGCTGAGTGCTGTATGTTCTTTGTCCTTTAATCCTAACAATTTTATGAAGAAGGGGCAATTGTTTTCATTTTACAGAGAGGTTCCCTAAGGGTTACTGAGATTAAGTGACTTGCCCGCAGATGCACAGCTCACAAATGGTGAAGCTGGCATTTGACTCGAGGCCTGGCTGACATCTGGTTATTTAATCATACTGCCTGTCAGTGTGTTGCTTTTATCGTAATACCAAAATGGGAATCGTTGTTGCAGAAGTCTGCAATTTGAGCTTTCGGTGCCTCTTTATAGATGGGACTTGTATCGCAAGAGATTGATACTCAGTTTTGTTGTTGACTCTAGAGGCACACGTGCTCTGCCATGTGACATCGGGACGGGCCAGGACTCGAGGTGGAGGTTGCAGTATGAGGTCTATCAGTATTTCCTGCCCGAGAAGGACCTCACTGAAGAGGGCTTGCTACAGCATCTGCAGAGGATGGCCGAGGTGCCTCAGGTGCTGGCCAATGCTATCAAGGTAAATCGAATTCTCGTGGGTCGTGTGGCCAGGTTGTGACATCTTTGTGACAGTTGAGAAGGGGAGAAGCTCCCAGGAGCTTCTTTCTTTGCTGTTTTCTTGGTCTTTCTGGGATTATCACTTTAATTTCTTTTATTTCATTGTCATCTTGGGAGTCTTTGCTAGTGAAACCCCAAAGTAATTTTGGCCTTTGAAGAGATGCATGTAAATTATGTTGCGTTTTAGTCGCAGACACATATTATCACCTGGTAATCTTGAGATATGGATGGAAGTCAGTGGTAATTTTCCATATACTCTCATAACTATTAGATAAACACTTTTGGCAAGTATAAAGGTTATAGTGTTTTGAGAAAAAATAATCAGAAACTGTTTAAGGATATACTCATTGGCATTAATATTTAAACCCAAACTCAAAGTCTCTAACTTGGAGCAAAACTTTTCTCTGAGCTTTTGAACCCTTGTAAATCCTTGCTGCTCCACATGGGGGCTGTGGGCCAGCAGCATTGGCATCACCTGGGAGTTTGTTAGAGTTGCGGACTCTTAGGCTCCACCCAGATCTACTGAATCAGAATTTGCATTTTACGAGATCTGCAGGTGATTCCTGTGCACATTAAAATTTGAGACTCAGGGCCGGCCCGGTGGCTTAGTGGTTAAGTGCGCGCGCTCCGCTGCTGGCGGCCCGGGTTCGGATCCCGGCTGCACACTGCCGCACCACTTCTCCTGCCATGCTGAGGCCGCGTCCCACATACAGCAACTAGAAGGATGTGCAACTATGACATACAACTATCTACTGGGGCTTTGGGGGGAAAAAAAAAGGAGGAGGATTGGCAATAGATGTTAGCTCAGAGCCGGTCTTCCTCAGCAAAAAGAGGAGGATTAGCATGGATGTTAGCTCAGGGCTGATCTTCCTCACAAAAAAAATTTGAGACTCAACTGCTGTAGATTATTTTTGTAGAGGGCAAGATTTTATCTTTGTGTCTTGAAAGGTGCCTGTGCAGTCTAATTACAAGGTCACCCTTCGTTCTAATGGTTGATGAGTAGAGTTTTTCTAGACTGCTCTGATTCTTCCCAGAAGGTTGATAGATCACCAGATTATGTAGAAAGAAAGGATTGAAAACATATATGATTAGCCTAGGGGCACAGTCTGTCACAGAGCAGGGTCTCATTTTGTTGCTGTGTCACCTAAGATGTCATTGCCCCATGCTAAGAGGGGGAGCCTTATACAAGAAAACTCATTGTGCTTTTTCACAAATTAGGAAGCTCTGTCAGAAAAGGTTATCAGCTGCCTTTTTATTTTTTTTTATTTTATTTTATTTTTTTTTATTTTTCCCCTAAAGCCCCAGGTGATAGTTGTATGTCATAGTTGCACATTCTTCTAGTTGCTGTATGTGGGACGCGGCCTCAGCATGGCCGGAGAAGCAGTGCGTCCGTGCGTGCCCGGGATCCGAACCCGGGCCGCCTGCATCAGAGCGCACGCACTTAACGCTAAGCCACGGGGCCGGCCCATCACTGCCTTTTTAGATGGGAAATTTTCAAGACCATTTTTATTCTCATGATGAATGTAAGATCTCATATAACAGGGTCTCTTTAGGTTACTTTTTAAACTTTTAGTTAAGAGTTAGAATATTGTGTGCCAGAAGGCAAGGAAACTCTCAATGACTAATGAGGGCAGGTCAAAAAGACTCTAGAGCCTATTTGAAGAGGCTCGCACTGGCCCACTTTGGGACAATTCATAGTCATTAAAAAGAATAATGATTGATTGTAAGTCTTGAATAAATAAAAACAAGTCTATACTGAAACTAAAAAAGAAAAAACTCCTCATTCGCTACCATTGGAAGTGACTCTTATACCAAATTAGTCTGAAAATTGGTAAAGGGAAGGAATTTGCCCTGCCTTTTTTAAAGATTATAGTGTTTTGAAAACTATAGATAGTGTTTTGAGAACACTATAATGTCTTATAAAAGAGGAACTGTAATTCGTCTCCAGTTGATGAGAGAAAGCTATTCTTCACAGAAGAATGCCAGCTAATAAATGTAGAAGGAATAATAGAATTAGAAGATCACCATTTTGTGGCCCTCAATGAAATAATTCAGGCAAGGATCATCAGATGAAAGATTGTGGGGGGGACAGGATATTCCCAGGATGCCCAAATAGCATCCTCAGATTAATTCTAATTGCAAAGGGAAAACTACTTTTAGAGTGGAGTGATCTGATGGTCTCCACCTTATGCGTGTGGTCAAAGTTAGCTTTACTGATGGTGGGTCACCCTGCATTATGTGCTCATGTGAATGCAGTCTGATATAACCGCCATCACCTATGGAGTATTCTAGCAAAACATGTTTAACTTGAATTCAGTCCTATTTCCCTACAGGAAATAACAGGGATAAAAGTACAATTTAGGCACCTTGAACACAACCTGATAAATCCAGACTGTGGAATATTCTGTAAAACAACTGCCCTTAATCTGTTCAGAAGTCATTGGGTGGGTGGGAGAGGGTGTTGGGAAGGACTGTTCTAGATTAAAGAGATTGGAGATAAACACCGCGCGTGAAACTTGGTTGGATCTTGGTTAAGTGGGAGAAAAGCTATAAAAGATATTTTGGAAAATCTGAATATGGGCTGTGTATTAGGTGGTAAGAAATTATTAATTTTCTGAGGTGAGCTAAGGTATTGAGGGTATATAGGAGAATATACTTATACTTAGTACCTTGGTACTCGAAGTGTGGTAGATGAGCGCATATCATTGGCATCGCCTGAGAGACTGTTAGAAAAGCAGAATCTCAGGTACGTCCTCTGGCCGACAGAATCAGGGTCTGAATTTTAACAAGCTCTGCCAGTGATTCATAAGCACGTTAAGTTTGAAAAACACTGTTTTACGACATGCATGCTGAGGTATTTAGAAGTGAAATGTCGTGATTTTCTGTAACTTACTTAAAAATGGTTTAGCAGGAAAAATAGAGGGGGTGGGGAGAAGGAGGGAGGGATAGAAAAGCAAATATGGTGACTTACTAACAATTGTTGAATCTAAGTGGTGGTATGTAGCTTATTCATTGTATTATTCTTTCAACATCTAAGGTTGAACGTGTCCTAATAGAAACTTGGGAGAGTAGGAGGTCGTGTTAATGTTTTGTTGAACTTGAGCAATCCTTTGTCCAGAAAACATGTTTTCGAAGGCTAAGTAATATTTTTAAACAGCAGAAGTCTTCTAAGAGGCGAATAATTATTTACCTCTGAAACTCATTTAATTTTCTCACTTCTATTAGTAGGAACAAATCTGTGTATTATGGCTATATAGGGCTTTTTCTTCTCCTATTATCTGCGTCATCTATCTAAAAACAACCTTTAAAGGGGAATTTTTGCAGTTAAGGACTACTGCATACCAGAACTATATGTAATGTTTTCTTATTTCAGAGCCTGTTAGACAAAAATAGGCGGATCCTCTCTTTGAGATGTTAACAGACTTTGTCTACATCAGCTCTATAGCTAGTAGTAATGGCAAACATTTTTTGAACATTTACTCTGTGCCAGGCATTGTGCTAAGATTAGTGAGCAAGATAAATAAGATTCCTGCCCTTAGGTTGTTTATAATCTAGCAAATGCGAAATTTTTTTTTTGCTTTATCCTAACTAGCATTGACATGTGATTTATATCGTATTTTACTTAAATTATTAACATTTAACACTATACAAAAACTTTAGAAGCATTTTGTGTAAGAGCTTGTTTATATTAGTACATATAAACTGTGTAGGACAGCTTTTGACAAAGCTAAATGGGTTGGTGTATATTTTAAACAGGAATTATAATTTAGGGGCCGGCCCCGTGGCTTAGCTGTTAAGTGCGCACGCTCTGCTACTGGTGGCCCAGGTTCGGATCCCAGGCGCACAGCAACACACAGCTTGTCCAGCCATGCTGAGGCGGCGTCCCACATACAGCAACTAGAAGGCTGTGCAACTATGACATACAACTATCTACTGGGGCTTTGGGGAGAAAAAGGGGAAAAAAAAAAAAAAGAATTATAATTTAATATTACGATTTAATATCACGTGTAGGTGATATTAGAATATATAATAGAATAGCTTTTGGTTTTTTGGTAATCTAAACACTAATCACGCATTATTTTTGGCTTCAGGTGGCTACCCTAACAGCTAATGACAAGACAAGTGTTTCCTTCTCTTCCCTTCGGGGACAAGGTGTCATTTACAATGTCATTGTTTGGGACCCATATCTAAATACGTCTGCTGCTTATGTGCCTGCTCACACGTATGCTTGCAGCTTTGAGGCAGTGGAGGGTAATTGTTCTTCCCTTGGTGAGTATATGGATTTAAACTTTGAAAGTTCTTCTTTGGCTTTTGCAGATCTCTGTCAGCTAATACAGAACTTGAGACTGTTAAAAAATGCTTTTCTGTGGTCTTCGTTCCTTCAACAAATGCCTTTTGAGCCCCAACAGTATTCCGCTCTCTGTTCTAGGCACTAGGATACAGCAGGGAACAAAACTGACAAAATATCTGCCCTCCTGGAGCTTCTGTTTTGGTGGGGGAGATGCAATAGACAAGATAGATTTGTAGAATATATGATATGTGAGAAAGTGGTGAGTGCTAACAAGCAAAACTTAAGTAGGAAAGGGAGCTAACAAGTGGCGGTGAGAGAAGAATTTAGATAGCATGGCCAGGGAAGTCCTTGCTGGGAAGGTAACATTTGAGTCGAGATCAGAGGCGAGGCAGGGAGCCATGCACGTGTCTGGGGGAGCTGGGAGCCCCCCTGCTGTATTTGAAGTACTGCAGGGAGAACAGTGGCTGGAGGAGACTGAGGAAGGCGAGAGATGCGGGGGCAGACAGCTCATAGGTGGCCTTGTAGGTCATAGTGTGGGCGTTAGCTTTTATTGGGAGTGAAATGGAAAGGCATTGGAGGGTTTGATCAAATAGCGCCACGATCTGACTTATATTTTAATCGAATCACTCTGACTGCTTTTTTGAGAAAAGACAAGGGTAAGAGCAGAAACAGGGAGATTGATGAGGAGGCCATTGTAGTAATCCAAGTGAGAGATGAGGGTGGTTTAGGTAGAATGCTGGCAGTGGAGGTGTTGCAAGATCATTCGCTTTGTGTGGGTGTTTAATGTTTTACTTTGAAATAGTTTCACAGAAAAGATGCAAAAATAGTACAGAGAATTTCTGCATAATCTTCACCCAGATTCCTCAAATGTTAGTTAACATATTATGCTGTGTGCTTTTTATTCTCTCTTTCTCTCTCTTGCTATAGCTATATATATATATATACATAATACTCTTTTTTTCTTTGAACCATTTGAGAGTAAGTTGCAGACATAAAGACCTTTTTGCCCTTAAATAATTCTGTTTATTTCCTTACATAACTGTAGTAAAATTATCAAAATCACAAAGTTAACATTGATACAGTACTATTGTTTAATCTACAGATATGATTAAATTTCACTAGTTATTCCATTAATGTCTTTTTTTTTTTTTTTTTTTTGAGAAAGATTGGCCCTGAGCTAACATCTGTTGCCAATCTTCCTCTATTTTGTAGGTGAGCCACCATCACAGCATGGCCACTGATAGCTGAGTTGTGTAGGTCTGCTCCTGGGAACCAAACTTGTGCTGCTGAAGCGGAGTCCCCAGAGTCTAATCACTAGGCCACCGGGGCTGGCCCATTAATGTCATTTATGAGCAAAATAAAATTTTGTTCTTATTCAGGGTACACTTCAGGATCACACATTGCAATCTGTTTCTGTCTTTTAAGACCTTGACTTTTTGAGGCGGACAGGCTATTTATTTTTTTAGAATGTCCTCAATTTGAGTTTGTCTGATGTTTCCTCATGGTTAAATTCAGATTATACATTTTTGGCAGATACAAAAGAGATGATCTGGTGTCCTTCTCGGGAGGCACCTGATAGTATGTATCTATTTGTCCCATTACTGGCGGTAGTAACCTTGGTTCCTTGGTCAGTGGTGTCTGCCAGCTTTCTCCATTGTAAAGTAACTATTTTTCCCTTTAAGTATCTTTTGGGGAGACATTTTGAGTCCTCTTCTCAAACTCTCACTTGTTAGTTTTTAGCCTGCAGTGATCTTTGCCTGAAACATTTATTATTAGGTGGTTGCCAAATGGCATTTTTCTAATTTTATCATTCCTTTTATGTTTATTAGTTGGCATTACTACTGTAAGGAAGAGTTTTCCCTTCTCTCCTATTTATTTAGTCGTGTATTTATTTATATAGATGAACCCCTGGATTCTTATTTAATTCTCTTGATTATAATCCATCACTATCATTATATTTTCATGTTCAGATTGTCTCAGATTTGGCCAATGAGTAGCTGCTTATATTTTGAAATAGAGCCAACAGTATTTGCTGGTGGCTTGGATGAGGGGTTTGAGAAAAAGGGGCGTAAATGATGATGCTGTTTTTGGCCTTAGCAACTCGAGAGGTAGAGCTGCCGTTCACTGAGGTGGAAGAGACTGTCAGCAGAGCAGGTTTGGGAGGACATTTCAAGAGTTCGGTTTTGGATATGTTCAGTTTAAGAACCCTGGTTAGCATTCCAACAGAGGTGTTGAATTAATAGCTGATTATGTATAGACTGGAATTCAAGGGAGAGGTCGGGGCTGGAGGTTACCTTGGAAATCATCAGATTAAATAGATGGCATTTAAGGCTGTGGACTGGATGGCATCACCTGTGGAGTGAATGTGTAGAAAAGGAAGGAGGTCTAAGCACGGAGCCGTGGGTGCTCCAGTGTTTAGAGGTCAGGAAATTGAGGATTCCACCAAGGAGACTGAGAAGGAGCAGCCAGAGTGGTGAAAGGAAAGTGATTGTTTTTGACGCTAAGGGGAGAAGGTGTTTAGAGGAAGAGAGAGTGATCAGCTGTGTCAAATGCTGCTGATAGGTCAGCTAAGAAAGAGTCTGAAAAATGACCGCTGGATTTAGCAACATGGAGGCCATTGGTGCCAGTGAGAGCCGGTTCAGGACAGCAGTAGGGTAAGAGCCTGACTGGAGTATGTTCAAGAATAAGTAGAAGGAAGGAAATTGAAGAGTTCAAATAGCTCTTTCAAGGAGTTTTTCTCTAAAGAATAAAGTCTGCCAGTTGTGTTGGAGCCAGGGATTAGGGTTCCTTCTCTGCTAGAGCTGTATCCCACCCAGTCTTCCACTGCCACGCTCAAGATCCTTGAGAGATACAATGCAAGAGACCCAGGCAGATGTAAGTTCTGTATTTTTGACTGATAGACTGAATCTTGTCTAGATTCCTCCATTCTCTTTCCCTTGAACCCTTTGCACCAGAGCGCCCCTAATCAGAAAGCCCCAGGGCTCTGTCTTTCCATGTTGGGCTGATCCTATTGTTCCTCCAACCCAAAGTTGAACCCTCCTGGTGATGGTGGTCCTATTGTTGCTTTCATTTTTAAGCTCGATGCACACAAGGATGCCTTTCCTGAGCTTGGAGTAGGGAGGATGTATCCACATTGACTTTTATTTTTTTTAAATTTTTTGTTTATTACAGTAACATTGGTTTATAACATTGTATAAGTTTCAGGTGTACATCATTATACTTCTATTTCTGCATAGATTACATCATGTTCACCACCCAAATATTAACTACAACCCATCACCACACACGTGCCAAATTATCCCTTTCGCCCTCCTCCCTCCCCCCTTCCCCTCTGGTAACCACCAATCCAATCTCTGTCTCTATGTGTTTGTTTGTTGTTGTTATTATCTACTACTTAATGAAGGAAATCATACGGTATTTGACCTTCTCCCTCTGACTTATTTCACTTTGCATAATACCCTTAATGTCCATCCATGTTGTCACAAATGGCTGGATTTCATCGTTTCTTATGGCTGAGTAGTATTCCATTGTGTATGTATACCACATCTTGACTTTTAATTAAAACCTTGACCTGTGCATCATAACCTATAGCAGTGCTGTGATGATTAAAGACACTCTAAATTTTGGCTCTCTTCTGTCTTCCCATTCCTTTCGCCCCTTTGTCTTCATTGCCCCTGAAAGTGACTGCTTATTTCATCTCGTCTTGTCTCTAGATTCTACTTATGAAACCTGCTCTACTCTCTGGTTTTTCTTGTATAATTTTTTTCTCTCCTTTCCTGGTACTGTGTTAAGAGATTCTATTTAGTTCCTCCCTGCTATCTAATGTTGTGGTGGGTTTTCTGTGTGTGTCAGTTTTTATTGGGTTGGAAGACCTTGCTATCTTGGTGATTGTACCTGCTGGAAACTTCCACTAGATTTTCATTTGAAGAAAATCATCTCGGCGAACTTCATGTTTTTGTTATCAAGATTGAATTGTAGAACAACAATCAACCACAGAAATAAGCAGAATGCGGTGTTTTATCTTTTGTTTCCTCTTCCTTTTGGGCTCTTCATTCTCAGAAAAGCTGGTATGTAGGTATATATTATGCCCTGCAAATTCTGGTCTTCTGTCTTGAGTTTCTTATTTAAATGTAGGTCTTCATGGTATCTCCATCTGAGCTATCTTAATTATTTTATGTGTTTTGATTTGTGGTCGATTTATAACATTTTTCACATGAGATTGTATAGGTGTTTTGGTTTTGTTTTTAATTCAGGGATTATTTTCTTGTGTTTATCTCAAAGGAGTCATGATGGTGGTGAATTTCGTGAGCAGATTTTTCTCTTCAGTAAGCCATATCTTTCAAATCATATTATTTATATTTCAGTTTGCGCCTATTAAGGATCATGGGTTTTGGGACTCTTTGGCATCATGAAGCGTATTGTGCTTTATTGTTAGTTATAATGCTACGTTTTTTTCCAAAGCAATGTGTGTAAAGATTGGTAGTAATTTGTTCATGTGTGACTTATAGTGTCATACATGTTCTTTTATTTTAATGTGAGTTTCAGTTAAAATTTTGTATTATGGAAGCATCAATGAACTTCCATGTACCAATTATCTGGCCTTAACCGTTTTGATTCATGGCCATTATCTTGTTTCACCTGAACACCCACCTGGATTTCTGCCTCCCTACCCTCTTTTATCACTGGATTTTTTTAAAACAAATTCCTGACCATCATTTTGCTCACAAAATTTCAGTATAAACATATATATATAAATCTTAAAGATAAGCACTGTTTTTAAAAAATATAGCCACAATGTCATCAACACAAATTTCACTTAAAAATATTGGAGATAATTCCTTAAGAGCATCAAATTAACAGCCAGTGTTTAATTTCCCCAGTCATCCCAATTGTTTTTCAGTTTGTTTTATTTGAATCAGGTTTGAGATGAGGTCTAGACGTTGTATTTAGTTGATGTGCCTTTTAAATCTCTTTTAATCCATAGTTGTCTCTCCCCCTCCCCTCCATTTTTCTTGCAGTTTATTGGTGAAGAAACAGAATTATTCGTTTTAGGCACACTCTCTCTCTCTCTCTCCTCCTTCCCCCCCACCCCCCCAAATATGTCAGGTAGCGCTGCATACCTCTATCCGGAGGCATCTATTGTCTGCTTCCTCTTTCTGTTATAGCAGCAGCCATTGATACTCATTGCCCACATAGAATAATTCATTAGGGGTGGTATGGGTATTTTAAAAATAAGTTTATAATATGTATGTATGGAATAAATTAGTGTCAGTTCACTTTGCTTTTTTCATGAAACTTTGTTCTATTAATTAAATACAAAGTATCAAGTTGGATGTATTATCCACTCAATTTTCATTATTTTTAGGAAGAGTCTCTACCAAAGTGTTCTTCACACTTTTTGCCCTGCTTGGTCTCTTCATTTGTTTCTTTGGACACAGATTCTGGAAAACAGGTATTATGTCTGATGTAGTTGCTATTTACGTGCCTCGTGGTGTTTTTTCTTAAATACTGCTCGGGAATTTATGAACTGTCGAGAGAGTAAGCAACTGCTTATCTCCACTATCTTCATAGATTTGTAGCTGGGTTCTTCTAGTAAAGGTTCTACCTAGTTGCTCTGCATTTTTATTTTTTCTCTTTTCTCAGTGATGGAGTGTGACCTCCTCTTATTAAGAGGGGAATAAAATTTGATTTGTGCAGCTAACTTCTTCAATTGCTAGATCGGCTAGTTGACTGAAGATAACTGAGGTTAGAAAGCAGGATGTCTATGTAAAAATATGTGTGGATTTTGGTGATGGTGATTGACATGTTTTCTCATAAATCAGGCTGCAGGGTTGCGGTGTACAGTGAGGTTGAAATATATGCTTAGTTCTGGGAAGTTCAGACAGCAAACAGGAACTTCACAATCTGCTCAGTGAAACCCAGTGTGGGGAGTAGAATATAAATTATGCTCACTGAAGTGATTTGAATTCTTTGGGCTGCCTTTTATATAACTAATGTTTGTAATTACTAAAAAAACCCTTACTTAGTTCGTTAACAAGGAGTATAACGGAGCATCAAGGGGAAAGAGAACATAATCCTGATCTCATAAAAACTCTTGCTTTAATAAATTGTATGGAATAGCAACTCCTTTTCCTCCATTAATATACTTTTTTTTTCTTGATTGAGAAGAGAATATTGTGAAGAATATTTAATTCCTCAAAGTGTAGAATGATTCTATAACAAAGAATTTAATTGTAGGTAAGGTCCAAAGATATTACTAGGTATTTTAATGGATGAAGACAATGGTTGATCCTAAACAGGACAGGATGAATTAAAAGAAGATATAAAAGTTAAATCTTGCTTTGGAGTATTTTGTTATATTTTTTGACCTTTCACATTTTATTTTTGTTCATGTAACGAATTAGAACTTAGTTTGTAATTTCAGATCAGACACAATAACAACAGTACTATTCTTGTTTTAAGTAGGAAGTATAAATATATTAAAATGAGCTATGAAATTAACAATTAGCAACAATTGAAATTGACCTATATACAGGAAAATGTGTCATGTAGTTAATACTTTAATATTGTCTCCATTTAATAATAATATTCCCAATGACTTCTAAATTTTTCCTTTCTTTTAGGTTATTATTTCTGAATGCCCTAATTCATAAATTCTGGGAGCTTAAGCATATATATGTAGATTAGATATTTACGTTGCATTGTAGAAAGAATGTGTAACCATAGCCTGTGTTGTTTTTTTTTTTTCTTTTCCTTGTGGTTTGCTACTAGAATTATTCTTCGTAGGCTTTATCTTCATGGGATTCTTCTTTTATGTACTGATTACAAGACTGACAACTATTAAGTATGATGGTAAGTGAAAATAATGTGGTTTGATTGGGTGGTCAGAAAGGAAGATGCTGTGTTTATATTCCACATTTCCTTCTACAGTTTGGCCGATATTGTGTGTGATATGCTAATTTGTGTGTAAAATAATGGGCCACCTAAACTCTAAACATCTTTTCTAAACTACTCATTCAGACCTCTCTTCTGGATTTTTAATCTGCACAGTGAATTCCTTGGTACTTAGGGAAATGAAGGGCCATATTGATTATAAAAATGTCCTTCCTCGTCACATTTAACAGAATGCTTATCACCCCTTCTTCCTCAGCCCCAATTTATAGGTTGTGCCAAGCCATGCCTGTCACTAGTCCTGGGAGATTTAGCTCCCTGGCTAGTTTCCATGTCTCAGACCAAGCGCTTCCTAGAGAGGGCCTCCCCATGCTGGTTTCATGGCACCACTGAAGAGCCCTCATGTCTGACCAACAGAAAGGCTAAGGCAGGCTCTGGTAATGATACTGTGTTTCTAAAGCATGGGGTCAGTTTATCTTCAAACAGTCAGTTTCATCATCAAACAGTTCATCTTCTCCCTTTGTGCAGTTCGTCTGATTCTGACAGCCATCACTGGAAGTGTTGGTGGGATTTTCTTGGTAGCTGCTTGGTGGCGCTTTGGAATCCTCGCGCTCTGCATGCTGTGTGTTGGACTAGTGCTGGGGTCCCTCGTCTCGTCAGTGACTCTCTTCACTCCACTGGGTAGGAGATGCGTAACTAATGTTTTGTGTGTTCAGTTCATTGTTTGAAAGACCTTAATCAGGGTCTCTTGGTACAAATACTGCCTCATCAGGGATTTGGGGCCTTCTGTAGAGTTCTAGAAATTTGCACTGATGATGTGGCGCTTTAGGGAGGGCCATTACAAATAGGAACCCCTCTTTGCTCAAAGGCACCCTGTACCAGAAGAATTTTAGAATGTTTTCTGTGGTAGCTTTGTACCTATTTGTTGTGATTATGAGTGTGTGTATGTTTCTGTTAGTTAGAATTAATGGAGGTAGGGCCGGCCCCATGGCTTAATGGTTAAGTGTGCGCGCTCTGATGCTGGCGGCCCGGGTTCGGATCCTGGGCGTGCACCGATGCACCGCTTCTCTGGCCATGCTGAGGCCGCGTCCCACATACAGCAACTAGAAGGATGTGCAGCTATGACATACAACTATCTACTGGGGCTTTGGGGGAAAAAATAAATAAATAAATAAAATTATAAAAAAAAAAACATTAATGGAGGTAAAGAGGATTCTTGACATATAGCAGAACAGTGGTTTTTGTTTTTTATTTTTTTGAATCTTGGAACTCTTTCTTTAGGTGACTCGTAAGCAGAAGCCCAATATATCCCACAGGTAAATTTGGCGCTGCTCCGATGGCTGCTGAGTTGGGGAACCTGGTGCTTTGTTCCCCGTCTTCTCTTGTACCTCTAACCTCCACTCCCACCCTTTGCCAAACACCAACTGTTCCTAAGGTACCTACTTGCAGTCATCCTAAGGTGGTAACACAGAGATGGTTCTGGGGATTTTTTTTTTTAAATAATTCAATTTCTGTCTATTTTTAAAACCTGGTTAACTTGTAAGTAAACTTTCTTTTGTAGGGAAGGAAAAAGTTTCCTTCTACCTTTCTAGGTTCTTTAGCTGGTCTAATTAAATTGACATACAACAAATTAATAGGAGAAAAACAAATTTAATTTTGTACTTACAGGAGCCCCATAAAAATGTGAGACCCAAAGTCAGTCAGGCAGTTGAGGCTTATATGGCATCCTATGCTTAGGAATGGAATAGGGGCCTGGGGCTTCAAAGGGGAAGAGTGCAATTCACAGAAAGATGGGAAGAGCAGATCTTTGGTAATCAGATGTTTGCCCTGCCATGCAGGTTAAGTCTTTCAGATAAGAAAGTTATCTCTGGTAATTGCTCTCTTTCTAGGTCAAGCTTCCTGTTTAAATTCTTTTAGGCAGTTAAGGGAGAGATAAAAGTTTTTCTGAATTTTCTGGGTCTTGGTTGCCTTCAGCTCAAAATAATCCACATGCCAAGTGGCACATTGCGGGGTGGCCTAGTCTGTTCCCCTTCACTTTGCAGTAGTATAATAACTTATATTTCTTGATTATTGTCAAAAATGCAAAAAAAAATAGTGTCTGTATTCCAGGGTACTGTAGTAGGCTATTTCTTTCTTGTGATAATGTTTAGTTCTTATATTAGAATATCAGATTAAAGTTGGTGGAAATGTTAGGTATAAGAATAGCTGTTGGGCCGGCCCCGTGGCTTAGCGGTTGAGTGCGTGCGCTCCGATGCTGGCAGCCCGGGTTCGGATCCCGGGCGTGCACCGACGCACCGCTTCTCCAG